GGACAGCATCAAACTAAAAATCTTCTGCACATATATACAAAAAAAAACATGACCATATACATAATTATATGTAGAACATTTTTGTATACTGGAACTACTCTGCGGAACTCGGGGTAGGAGGAAAAGGAAAAAGAAAAATTTGAAATACATTACATCCATGCAGGTAGAGCACATAACAACATGTACTGAAAGTTGTTGAACAATAGGGGGTAGCAGGGAAAGAGCAAAGGAGAGTAACAGGGGGTTGAACTGACTTCGGTAAAGTATATTCACAGCTAGGACATATAGAGAAATCCCGTTGAACATTGACTTTGGAATTAAAAATGAAGGACAGGACTATAAAATAGGTACAGTGGGGGTACTTATGGGAGTGGGGAGGGTGATTGGAGATGAAGGTGAGGGAATATGGTTGATGTGCTTTGTGTACATATAGGGAAATACAATGATGAAACCTCTTGCAATTGCTTTAAGTGGAGTGGGGAGGGGGTTGAGTTGGGGAGATTGGGGGGGAGCAATATCTAACCAATATACAATGTAAGGCTATTTGGAATTGTCACAATGAATCTCCCCTGTACAATGAATATATGCTAATAAAATGATAAAAAGAGATACGGAGATAGAAGAAACAAACAAACAAACAAACAAAGATGGATCTGCAGAACATCACCTTAAGTGAAGTAGGCAGATTCGGAAAGCAAAGACCACATGTTTTCTCTCATATGTGGAATATAGACCTGATACAAATACAACATTATGAAAAACAGGTTGTGCTAAGGGGAGGTCACATGTAAGAGAGAGAGGGTAAAAGGAGGAAGAAGGTGAATATGGTTGATGTACTTCCTATACAAGAATGAATATAGAATTTTTAAACCTGTTGAAATCACTATAAGAAGGGAACTAAGGTAAAAAGGAGAAAAATAGAGGGGATGAACCAATTCAGGTTATAATACATATATACAACGAAATGTCACAATGAAACACAAACAAAAATGGCTTTTTTTCCTTTCTTTTACAAAAACAGAGAACAGGAAGGCAAAACAGGCCCTGTCTGAGAGATTTGTACCAGTGGGAGCAGGGAGGACATAAGGAAAGGGTGTAGGAGGTGAGTATGGTAGAAATACTATGTACTCATGTATGTAAATGGAAAAATGAGACCTGTTGAAACTGTTCCAGGAATGGAGGAAGGGGGGATAAAGAAGAATGATGGAGGGGATGGATTCAACTATGATACTTTGTAATACTTTTGTAAATGTCTTAATGTACCCACAGTACAACAATAATAAAAAATTAACTTAAAAATAATAATTAAAATATAATTTTAATTATTTTTTTTCTTTTGGCAATACTGGAGTTTGAATTCAGGGCCTTGTACTTGAAAGGCAGATACTCTTCCATTTGAGTCATGCCCAGCTCTCTTTTTTCTTTCATTATTTTTCAGATATGGTCTCACATTTTTTTCCCAGAGCCAGCCTGCCTTGTATTATGATCCTCCTACCTATTCCTCCTGTGTAGCTAGGATTACAGACATGACCACCATATCATGCCCAGCTTGTTGATGGAGATGAGATCACGATTCTCGCTACCTACCCCTCCCTCAAACCTTGATCCTCCCAATTTCCACCTCCCAGGTAGCTGGAATTACAAGTGGGAACTACCATACCAGGCCTTATTTTTTTCTTTATTCTCTTTGCTACTTGGTAACAAGGGAGAAAAATTTTTTTTAATTTGTCCATTCAAGAACACTTCCCTTTTCACCAGGTCTGATGGTGCACACTTGTAATCCCAAGACTTGGGAGGAGAAGCGGGAGGACTATGAATTCAAGGGCAGCCTAATCTACATAGGAAGTCCCTGTCTAAGAAAGGCGAAAGGAGGGGAGGGAAGGGGAGGACGCTTGGAGGCTCCATCTCAGTCTTGGTTCCCCTTTGCCAGCTGGGTAGCACCTGAGTTGCTCTGGTTCCCAAAGAGAAACTTCAGATCTAAGCCTTGAGAAGTAGTGAGCAAGCAACCCTGCCCTGGCATTCTGGAACTTCACTGCTTATCAGTCCTTCCCCATCAGCTCTTCCCTGATGAATAGATATGGGAGTATGTTCAGACAATGCCACTTAATATGACTTACTGTCCACTGAATCATCTTTCATCCAGGATCCTCTTCCAAAACACCAAGAGAGTTTTCTTTAGATTATATGCACTCTCCAATTTCCTGGGGCAAAAATAATTTGTTTTATCATGTACCCTTAGTGGCCAAGGACTGTAGGGGAAACGCCAAATATACAATGCATGAAAACTGTTTCAAGCTGGGTGCAGTGGTGCACGTGGGTAATCCCAGTGGGGCTTGGCCAGCCACTCAGGAGGCTGAGGCAAGAAGGGTGTGTTCCAGATGAGCCAGGGCTAAATAATGAGACCTAGTTCAAAAAAATTAATAAATAAATGTCTGTTTTCTTTGTCTCCTCCATTAGACTGAGTTCTAGGGTAGAAGCTATTTTATCTCTTTGAGGGTGTTCTCTACTGCAAATGTTGAACACATAGAAAAACAGCTCACAAGAGAGCTTACCAAGGCAGTAAGGAAGTACCAGTTTCAAGACCAACGCAAGACATTTAATGCAAAATATGATCAGATGACACATACAAACTGATTTTTGGCAAAGATACAAAGCGAATTCGTGGAGAACAGAGAGTCTTTACCATAAATTGTGTTAGAACAATTGGGTAATCATATTGGGGCATACCATGATCACAGAATAATGTCTTCCCCAAAATGTCCATACCTTAATTTCTCAAGTCCATAATATGTTAAGAAAATAAACAGACAAGCCACAAACTAGGAAAAATGTTTGCAAATTGTGTATCTGATAAAAGACTTTTCTTCAGAATATATAGAGAATTCTCAAATTCAGTAACAAGAGAACAAACTGCTATGGTTTTAATATGAGCAGTGTCCTCCAAAAGTCCATATGTAAAGGTTTTGTCCCCTTGGTGGCAGTATTGAGAGGTGCTGTGGACCTTTAAGCGGTGGAGCCTTATAGGAGGTTCTTAGGTCACTGGAGGTGTGCCCTTAAAGTGAATTGCAGGACCCCACCCATCCTCTGCTTCCTGACTCAAGATGTGAGCACTCACTTGAACATGCTCTCTGCCGGGATGTGCCACCCTTCCCAGAGGCCCAAACCCATGGGGCAACCCAATCTTGGACTTGAACTTCCAGAACTATGAGCCAAAATAAATCTCTCTTTACTTCATAAGTATCTTGTGTCATGTATTTTCATATAGTGATAGGATGCTGACTATCCAAAAACCAAATAGTGGATTAGTCAGTTCACCAAGGAAGATGAATATGGATAGCAAATAAGTACATGCAAAGATGCTCAAAATCATTAGGCATGAAAAAATAAAAATTATAACCACAAGGAAATATCACTATACATGAGTTAGCAAAGATGGGAAGCAACTGGGCTTCTCATACACTGCTGGTAAAAAGGTAAAATGGTTCAGGACAGCAGTTTCTTAAAAAGTTAAACATATACTTACTATAACCCAGTCATTCTACTCTTGGGTATTTACTCAAGAGAAGTAAAAACATACATTCATACAAAGGCTTGTAGATGAAGGTCTGTATAGCAGCTCTATTTGCAATACTCCAAAACTGGAAATACCCGATAAGTGAATGAATAAACTGGGATATCCACACAATGGACTTACTACCTAGCATCAAAAAGGAATTAATTATTGATAACACAACAGATGAACCTCAAAATAGACTATGTGAAATAAGCCAGACAAAAAAGTGTCATCATATACTATGATTTGATTCATGCAAAATTAATGTAATTTTATCTAAAATTAATTCTATTTATGTAAAATGAAAACTAATGCATAATGACAGGAAGATCAGTGCCTGTGCAGAAAACGAGAAGAATGAGGACTTTTTGAGGTGATGAATGTTTTTTATCTTGGTGTGATGGTTTATAGGTATAAACATGTTAGAACTTATTGTTTGCTTTAAATGAGTGGCTTATTGTAAGCCATTTGTGAAAGAAAGCCCCCCATTTATGGAGGTATAGAGGTAACAAAATATCAAGTGTTAGATGGAGTGAGAAAGCAGAGGTCCAGCTCAGGAGATGTTCCTGCCAGTGAAATACAAACCATGATCCCAGGAAAAAACAACCAATCAACAGGTCTACAAAAAAGAAGACAGCCAACCAAAGTGGCCTAACCGAGGTAGAAAACCTATTCTCAACCCTATCTCCCTGGCTAAGCTCCTTTGCATAGCTACTTCCCTCTCAATGGCGTCCTAATAAATCTTTGCTTTTTTCCTACTCTGTCTTGATAAATTCTTTTACCAATCCGCGGCTCCCCAAAATCCACACACCCTTTGTATTTTGATAAAGCTGTTTTAAAAATACAATAAGAGACCAACGTAGATATATAAAAGCAGAATCAGACAGAGGTGCTAACGAGTCATATTAGCCAAGAAACACCAGACAGAGGTAGGGTGGTTTCTCCGGCTGCCTTGCAGAGATGCTGAGTAAAAGTGAGGGCCATGAAGAGTAGAACTGCTTGTCCAGGAGGGGCGCAGGCAATAATGAGGTGTTGGGTACAAATCTTTGGGGTGAAGAAAGCCAGCGCCTCGGGGAAGAGTTGGAGGGGGGTAATGCTTGAGAATGTGGGCCAGGCAGATTATCCTGTCTTCCTCGGGCTCTGTTTCAAGAGCTTCTCAAGGGACCAAGTGCATCCCTAGTAGCTTGCTTTCTGTTTCTGAAAATAGGGGAACACTGTTTCGAGTCTGAGACTTGGGGGTGGAGTGTTGCGTTGTCGGGGTTTGTGATTGAGGTGGGTAGTGCACACACGTAAGCAGCGACGTCCAATCCAGAATGAAAGTACTCTTAAAATCAGAACTACCTCATCACGACACATGCGAGAAATCCCACTTCTCAAACCGCTCAAACTCCAGAACCCTCGGACAGTCTCAGCTTTCCACAGGTGTCCCTGCCCCGCCTCCACCGCCCTCTTCCTTCCGGAAAGACTCCGCCTTCTGCGCAGAAGGTGGGGCTTTCCCCCAGCGCCTCACCTCAGCGCGCAGACGCAGAAAAGTCGCTTTACGGCCGAAGGAGAAGGCGAGGCATAGACTTAAGGCCCGAGGCTGAACTGAGGGGCGGGGAAAGAGGCTTTTTGCGGCAGAACGTAAGTGACGGCAAAGGCGGTGCGACAGCAGCTGGAGGGCAGGAGGAGGCGGGTTGGTGTTTCCCGGGTCGAACCGGGCTGTGGCGGGGGGGGGGGGGGGCGCGGACTTGGGCTGGGGCGGTAGTTGAAGGCCCGCTGCAACAGCATGGGTGAAGGGGAGCGCGAAGGGGGAGGCCTTGGGCTTCTTTGGGCGGTGGGTAGGCCCAGGGGCCTGGCGGACTGTTGTCCCGGATCCAGGCCCAAGATCTGACCGGTGGTGCCCTCCTTCCCGAACTCGCAGTGCGGCGGGTCCTGTCCTCGCCATGAGGCCGCAGCAGGCGCCAGTGTCCGGGAAAGTATTCATTCAACGAGACTACAGCAGTGGCACACGCTGCCAGTTCCAGACCAAGTTCCCCGCGGAGCTGGAGAACAGGGTACGCCGCCTGTCGCCCCGCACCTGCCCCGGGGCGAGGGAGGGGGACTTCACAGGGGTTGGGAGGGGGTACGGGCCGATTTTCGGCCCGCTGAACGTCTTAGGATTCTGGGGAGGGGCAGACCGAAGTGGGTTGTGGACAGAGGTGTACGAAGAAGGTTCTATCAGCGCTTGGAGGAGAAAGAACAGGCCAAACTCCGGGGTGTGATCTATAGAACTTGATGGAGTGCAGTGCCCGCATTCTGTATCCTGCGGCCTTCTTACCCTGCTGCCCCCATCCCGGGTGATTGGCAGCAGTGACGAGCTAATTCCTGAGGCTCCAGGCCATCTCAGTCAGCATGTTGTAAGCTATAACCTCCCACCTCCACCAAGAGAAAGCATCATCATATACACATGACTGGCATTTGTGGTCACTATGCTGGGCGCACTGTTCAGCTGAAAGGGCTTATTAGTTCTGTGCCAGGCAGTGCAGACAGGCCTTCTTGGAACCTCAAAAACGTAGAGCATTACATGTATAGGAAAATGTCTCTGACAAGGCCTTAAATTCGGCACTCCCAGTTGTGATCACTGGGAGCTATGTGTTCTGCTTGCAAATCTAAACTGTCATCAAGATGTAGGTGCTTTGGTCAACCTTGCCTACAGAAATGGAAGAAGGCGATTTGTTCTTCAATTTAACTCCTCCCCTTCCTCCCCCCCACCCCCCCGTTTTTTTCCTGTTGTAAAAGTTCGATGGAGTGTGTGTGTGTGTGTTGTGCTCACATGTGTAAACCTAACCAAAGAACAATTCTTTTGGTCTTAAGCTATGTTACTTAGATTCTGGTTCCTGTTCAGAGGTCAATTTCTGATTAGTTGACAGCAAGTTTTGTGGCTCTTTAGTCTTTGATAGGGAGGGTGACGGACTGCGAGTCAATTAGGCGTGACGTGGGTGTGGGGCTAAGAAATGCTGGTCATAGAGTAAGTGGGTGGAGATGAGTGTCTACTAGAGAAATGTGTAGCCGCCATTTAAAGTCAGTTTGTAGGCTGGGGTGTAGCTCAGTGCTACAGCTTGTGCTTTGCATGTGTGGAGGCCCTGCGTTCACTCCCTGGCATCAAAAGTAAAGTCAGCTTATATCAAAGTGGGTTGCTCTACCTGATTGCCAATGTTAGAAAATGAACAGTGGTCATTTATAATTTCCTTCAGCTTGATTTATAACCAGAGGCAGGTTAATAACACAAATATGTTCAACCACAAACATGCCTTAGAAAGACATTGTGCAAGCCAGGCATAGTGGATGCATTCCTGAAATCCCAGCACTCAGGAGGCTGAGGCTGGAGGATCTCAAGATCAAAGCCAGCCTGGGCTACATAGCAAGATCCTGTCTCAAAACAAAAAGTGTAAATTTACTTCTTTGTAAAATGTCATTTAAAGGTTGCATTTTGTTGTCAGTAATGTTTTAGTTAAATCAGTTTGACAGTAGGTGGACATTGCCACTGTGTTTCGAACAAGTAGAGATTGAACAAGTTGCTAAACTAGTTCAATCTAGACAAGTTGCTAGAGCTACAGAATGTTGCTTTAAAGTAATTTGCCATCATAGGCTGGCACCTATGAGCCTAGCTATTCGCAAGGCAGAGATCAGGAGAATTGTGTTTCAAAGCCAGCCCTGGCAAATAGTTCGTGAGACCCTATCTCAAAATAATCCCGTCACAAAAAAGGGCTGGTAGAGTGGCTCAAGGTGTAGGCCCTGAGTTCAAGCCCTGGTATCACAAAAATAATAATAATAATTTGACATCACAAGTTTAAAAGTCAAACTTCCACCTCACAGTTGAACCAAATGTGCATATGCAGAATCAGATACTAGCCATCCACTCACTGTGTGTGTGGTAGAGCCTTTCTTTTACAGTCTAAATACAGAAGCACCACATAGTCAAAATTCTCCACTGATTGTTACAGGAAATTGATGTTGCTAAATTTTGGAGTCCTTTTGTGCTTTAACTTTATATAGCCCAAAAATGCTTGTGGTACTGAGTACTGTGTGGGATTATATGTTGCTATTCAGTTGTGACTTTGAACTCTTTTTCTTTTTTAAAAAGAAATGTTTTGGTCAAAACACTAGCTTAGACTTTAAGCCAGTTGGAAAAGCTTTGATTTTTTTTCTTTCTTGTGTTGAGATTAAACTTCAATTGTAAGTTTTCCTTGCTTTGTGTGATCAGAAATTGAAAGGTTCTTTTGTTTCTGTGCCACTTACCTTAGAAATGTTACTGATTGTGCTGCCACTGGGGCTGGTTTTCCTTTTGTGAGAACATCACAGTTGCAACTTAATAGAAGAAGAAACTATATACAAATATTTTCTATTACTTTAAAGCATTAAAAAATGCCTACATTTGCACCCTTTAATTTAGAGTGTGGACAGCTTCTGTTAACAAGTGTACTTTCTCCACTACCTGTTAGGATATGATGCTTAGTGCTTTGTTACCCAAACAGTTCTTTAAAGGAAGCTTTATTCTCACTTCAGCCAAAATGCAGATAGATGTCTTAGTCACCCTTAGTGTAGAAAGAAGAAAAAAGAGTGAACTGTAATTGAGAACTATAATTGTTCTCCTGCATGCTTTTAAATTTTTACCTCTATATCTGCCACCTTGGTTTTGTGATCACTTTAAGCTTCAGTACCATGTAGTTCATTCAAAACAAGAATCTTGAGAAAATGAGCCTGACTCCTTATTTCCATTCTGACTTTCAGTATTTATTGGTCCACATATCTCCAGAGTTTGTTACAGTTCCTGTATCAATGTCCAGGGGCCTTTGGGAGAACAATAAATAGCTATCTTCATAGGGACCAGATGTGGTAGATAAAAATGCCTAAATTTGTTCTTTTGAGCTCTTCCAACTCAAGTACAGATGTGTGTCACTAATATCAGAGACACTTTGTGGCAAGTGCGTCATTAGGTGGTAGCGCTGCGTGCCTGTACAAACGTGAAGCATAAAAGGCTGCTGCTGATGTGCTGAGGACGAAGCACACTACAAAATAACAATAAAAGATATAGCGTAGAATATACATAAGTCAGTAATACAGTCTTGTGTTATCATTTTAAATTAAGTGCTAGGTACCATACAAAGTGGTATGTGCTGTACTTCTTGTAAGACTGACAGCACAGGAGGTTTGTTTACCCCAGCATTTATTTATTTAGGTGGTACTGGAGTTTGAACTCAGGGCCCTATAATTGCTGCACAGGTGCTGTATCCCTTGAGCCACTCTGCCAGGCCAGCTCCATTATAATCTTATGGGGCCATTGATACGCAATCCATTAACCAAAACATTATGGAGTGTGTGACTTAATATTTGCTTTTACTGCTCCCTTCTAGGCTTTTTTTTTTAAATCCCCTTTTTCATAATGACCTTTTAGAAACTTTTTTTTTTTTGGTATGGTGTTGAAGATTAAACTCAGGGCCTCACACATGTTAAGCATGGATTCTACCAGTGAGCTACATGACCTACACCCCCAGCTGCTCAAAAACTTCTTGACATTTACTGTTTTTTTCCCTTCTTTCCATTTAACTGGCCTGGATTTGCCTCCATCCTGTAAAGCATTGCAATCTCACAACAACTTAAGAATTAGTGTTGCTGATCTGAACAGTAATTCCAATCTGAAAGAAAAAAGTGATGCTGGGTTGGATCCCATGGTTTTGAATTATATTGTATATAAAGAAGCTTAAATTGGGTGTGGTGGCACTTGGAGGCAGAGCAAAAAGATGAGTTTAGGACCAACGTTGGCAAAGTTAGCAGGACCCTATCTCAAAAACAAAAAGAGCTGTGGGAATAGCTCAAGTGTAGAGCACTTGCAAGGTCCTGTGTTCAATCCTTAGTATTGGAATGGGGATAGAGGGAGAAGAAACATAAATAATTGAAGAGAATTTACCAAGTCATAACATTGTAGGCAAATAAAACGTGATTAAAATTATTTAGACTTGATTCACTGATGAATAAACTAAAGACATTAATTTAGGCATAATTAGTTGAATATAACACTTTAACGTTTATTCGCTGAGCTGTTCTTCTCAGTCTGTTTTGAGGGAAGGGATACTGTGACTTAGGTTCCTAGCTAACCAGCCTTGATGCTACATCTTAAAGTGATAGAGCAATGAAGAATGCTGCCCAAGCTTTTAGAACCATCTCTTCCCACCCAGCCCTTGTCAGAAACTTGAAATATTCTAAAATAATTTAACATAGCTCTTTTTGAAAAACAGGTAACACCAAAAGCATGTTCAAGGTTACATTAAATTTTCTCATGCCATTTGTTCATTAAGACCTACAGTTTTCCACACTAAGGATAAAACAATGATTACAGCTGCTTCTAACCTGAGAAGTCTTAATAGATTAAGGAAAATCATAAATTGTTTATGCTTTCTTGGAAGCCAGACACAGTGGCTCATGCCTGTAATCCCAACTGCTTATGAGGGGAGATCAGGAGGGTTGAGGCTAGCCTAGGCAAAAAGTTAGTAAGACCCCATCTTAACAGAAAAAAAGTTGGAGGAGGCAGGAAGTCCAAGATCTGAAAAATAAACTAAAGTAAAAAGGGCTGGAAATATGTCCCAAGTGATAGAGAACTTGCTAGATCTGAGTTCAAGCCCCAGTACTACCAAAAATAAATAAATAAAAGTTCTTGGAAATATTTTATCTTTTACTGTATATTGAAGTTCTTTTTTCTCCCCTCCTGAGTCTATTTTTATTTAAAGACTTCATAAAAGAGATAATTCATCAGTAAATAGCTATTAGTTTTAGGAATAAGGGAGGTGCTATGTAGGAGAAGCTCTAGAGTGATTTGGTAAATTGTATTTGTTAACCAAGTGTCTATAATCCTAGCTACTCAGGATGTAGAGCTTGGGAGGATCACAGTTTGAGGCTGGCCTGGCAAAGTGGAGTTCAGGAGATCCCATGTCAGTCAGTCAAAAAGGTGAGCATGGTACCATGCAGCTGTCATCCCAGCTAGCAGGAAGCATAAATAGGATCATGGGTCAGGCATAAATTGAGTCCTATTAGAAAAACAACTACAGCAAAAAGGACTGGGGGAAAAAAAGGTGAGGATGGCTTCAGTAGTAGAGTGCCTGCCTAACAGATGCAGGGCTCTGAATTCAAACTTCAGTACCACCCAAAAAAAGAAAGAAATTCAGAATAAACAAGTAACATTTTGAGCCTTGAAGATATTCAGTGCCCATAACATAGATAAAATTAAACTAACACCCAACAGCCTCAATAACTTAGGTCCAGATTTAATCACTAAAAAAGTATTTGCTGACTTTTACATTAGGAGTGTTGTCAGAACAACATGGTAAATTACTGATAGCAAGCATTGATGAGTTACTAATCTTTTTTTCCAAAACTTACCTTTAAATTCTTTTCCTAGGGCTGGGGATGTAACTCAGTAGTAGAGCTCTTGGCCCTGAGTTTGATCCCCAGCACTGCAAAAAAAAAAAAATCGTAACTAAATTCCTTTTCTCCTTGAAGATTGACAGGCAGCAATTTGAAGAAACCGTTCGAACTCTGAATAACCTTTATGCAGAAGCAGAGAAGCTTGGGGGTCAGTCATACCTTGAAGGCTGTCTGGCTTGTTTAACAGCATATACCATCTTCTTATGCATGGAAACTCATTATGAGAAGGTACGTCTACATTTGTGTTCACAAAATCTCTTAAATCATAAGGATGGTGAGTTGGTTACATGTTTATGTTTACATGATTGCCAGAAATCTTATAAAAGTATTTATAAATACTCTGATTTTGTTTTTTCCTGTGTCCAAATCATATAAAGGAATGAGTCCAAGCATTTCAGAAACAGGTCACAGTTGGCATGTTTACTTGGAGATAACATGTTAGTTGTTCAGACTGGCCTACACTTAAGGTGAATGTAGAAAATGTGTTTTCTTATTCTATCTAGCTTTCTGAGAATCCTTGTACATTGTTTGCCCAGATTTCCAACTTTAGTCTTTTCCTCCCACCTGAGTTCTTGTTTCCTCTTTCCAGCTGCCTTCTAGATCCAGAGTAGCTGATTTCTCAACTTGAGATGGCCATAGTTCAAACCTCCCACCTCTCCATTTTATTTAATAGTACCTCTGTCTTTTTAGTACTTTCTTTAGGTGTGAGGAAAGAAGAGGGAAGAAATAGTAATTATTAAAGACTGAAATATCTTTCATTTTCCCATTCACTAACTTTTCATGATTTCCTCTGCACTCTCCCAGTTTGCACCCCTATTACTTCTCTCCTAGGCTATTAATATAGTCTCCTGACTTTGTCTTGTCTTTCACATTTTCTACCTGTCTGCTGCTGACTTCATAAATCACATCCTTACTTCCCCTGCCACTCCTGCCAAGACCTTCCCAGTTACTGTTATTGGGTCAGGTTCACAATCCTCAGGCTAATCTCTCAACTTGCCTTCCCAGCTCTGTCTACCATCCCTTCCTTCACTTACTTTGACAGCCAAACTTGAGTACTTACCAGTCACCAAAGATCCTGTCTGTGATTTTCCCCCACTGAGACTGGCATTCCTCCCATATTCAAATACCACCAGTCTCTTGTTTCCCACTTCCATCTAACTTCTCTTCTAATCAGAACTCTTTCTCCTCTGAGTCCCTGAAACATTTGACTAATATCCCTTTTCTGGCACTTAGCACTCTTTACCTTGGAATATAGCAGTTTAGGTTCTTGTTTTCTTTGCCCTTCAACTATGCACAAACTCTTAACCACTTTTGTATCCCTCTTAATGCCTAACACTATGCTTTGGGTATATTGGGTACTCTTTAGATATGTGAAATAAATGACTTTAAGTTCATCACAGTAAAGTCTGAACACATCTCTAAATTCTGACAATGTTTAGAGAATGAAAGACTAAGAATACCATCTGTATTATGCCCCACCTCACAGAAGTGTCCCAATGATTGTCTCATACTCCATGTGGTAGGGAGCACCTAAAATATTGTGAGCTGATGACTAAAAGTGATGCTGTATTCTTAACTAGCATCCTGATACGCACTCTGAGTCTTACTTACAATTCTATCTTATGTAAAAGTATTTTTGTACAATTAATAAACACTAATAAAAAACTCATATTAAAAACAGTAACTAAGGTAGTAGTTTATGTTCTTTGAGAAGCAGCTTTTTATTACTGTTTAACTTTCAAATCAGAAGTTACCAAGGATCAGTGTCAGCTTTTAGTCTGTGTTCAGTCTTAGTAGCTTTTTAATATATTTGGCGAATAAAGGGTCAGGGAACTCATTAAATTTCATATTTATTGAAGGCCTACTATGTGCCAAGCAGTGCATCAAACACAGTGCCAGAAATGTAACCAAACAAGGCAAACATGATTGCTGACCCATTTGTGGAGTTTATAATTTAATGGTAACAAACTGACAATAGCAAGGAAGGAAGTAAAACCAACAAAATTTTAAGTTGTGATAAGGAAACAAAGTGGCCTGTGATAGAAAATAAAGGGAGGAGCCTAATTTAGATTGTGTGACCAAAAAAGTTCTCTGATGCGATGACATTTAGATGATGCTCCATGAAGGACGAAGAGCCCTGTGCCACTCAAACAAAAGGCCAGGGAGCTTGAACTGAACAATGATGGTGTTGCCTGGGAGGAAGGGCAGGAATGACTAGAGATGAATTTGGAGAGGTGCCGTACATTAATTCATAGTCCTGGGAAAGACGTAGATTTTATTTCTTGTACAAAAGGAAGCTACTCCAAGGTTTTAAGCAGAAAAGTGGTATTTTCATTTTAAAAGAGATCTGTTTGCTCTCTAGGAGAAGGTGTAGGAGTGGAAATGGGGAAACAAGTTAGGGAGCCCACAGAAGTTCAGGCAAAGGTGATCACTGCTTGGGCTAGGAATATGGCACTGTGGAGTGACAGAGGAGAGTGACTTCAAGGGATATGCTGGTGGTAGAAACAAGACTTGGAGGAGCTGAATATAGGGGAGAAGAGTAAGTTGAAGGCATGTGAATAAACATGGTGATCAGCAGTGTTCATTTAAAGATGCATCCATGATGCTAGTTAAAGTAGAAACACCTCCTCCAGAAGGTGTTGCTTGTGGTTAGTGGCATGCTGGAGGCCTGAGCGATCGTTTCACTGTGTCTTTTAATTCGTTGATAAAAGTTTAGTTAGCTTTTATTTATCTGTATGTATTTTCTGAAATAGGTACAAATATCTCCTAGAAAGTCAGGTGTAAAAAGAAATTAATAATTGGGTACCGACCAAGTCATAGTACTTAGAGCAGTAGTTAGAGAATCTTTTTATTTATTTATTTTTGGCCATACAGGGGTTTGAACTCAGGTGTTCTAGCACTATGAGCCACTTCGCCAGCCCTAGTTAAAGGATCTTGGACACATTCATCTCTTGGAGTTCTCTCACTATAAAAGGGATCTTAGAATTTACATATTCCTTCCCAATATGGTAAATGCTGAATAAACATTGTTTTTTTGAGATAGACTTTTTAGTGAAGTTAATATGTGTGTAAGTTTTAATCAGATATTTGTGAGCTCATGCAAGATTTTTTGTTTCTGTGATAACTGGGGTTGGAACTCAGTGCCTCTTGTTTGCCAAGCAAGTGTTCCACTACACCCCCAGACCTTTTTTCTTTATTTTTCAAGATAGGGTCTTACATTTTTGCCTGGGTCTGGCTTTGGACTAAGGTCTCCCTACCTAAGTCTCCTGTATATGTTTGGTTTCATTTCATTTTGTTTTTGAAGTCTTGACCCGTAGCCCAGGCTGGCCTGGAACTTCCCATCCTTCTGCCTCACTCTCCCCAGTGCTGGAATTATAGGCATGCACCTCAAGGCCTGGCATCTGATATGATGTGTTTATTTCATGTATAAGTGATCTTTTTTTAGCCATCTTTAGTTGATTTGGATACTAAAACACTTAGCAACTTTCAATTAAAACATGGCTACATTTTTTAAACAGATGTTTATTTTTAGAAACTAGACATGAATAACTAGATCATTTAAAGGTAATAACTGAAATAATTAAGGTACAGTATATCTGTATTTTTGATAAAATAAAAAGTAGTAAGTAAGCACAGCAGTCCTCTTCCTTCTCCCATTTGTCCCTAGAAATTTCTGTACTGTTATTTCTTTATGAAAGACATGGTTGAGTCATTTAGCCTCTATTGTTTCAAACGCTAAAATTCCTAGTCTACAAACAGTAAACCAAATGTGCTTACACTTTGTCATTGGATTAAATTTTTTGAAATTGTAAATAATGCCTTTTAAAACTTGCTAGAACACTCATGCATTTTCCCCTAGAGCATGCTATTTATTGATTTGAAATGAAGATAAAGACTTCATTGTTGTTTCTCTGTTGTCACTATCCATTATAATTAGGGAACAAATGAGCTAGTAGAAGGCTCTCCTCAGTAACTGTCTGCCTTGTTTATCAAGTAGAAAGCACCCCTTCTGCCTGTGTGCTGTAATCTGTAAATCAGCAGTTAAGGACACTTGGGTATTTTTTGAAAATGCTAAAGTCCTGTTGTTACTGAACTCCCAGACTGTTTTTCTTGAAGGTCTACACTGGGCTGTCTCCAGTTTAATGTTCTCAGAACAGTAGTCTTTTCAATGTTTCATTTTGTAAATATTACACAAATTGAAGTTGTGTTGAGGATTTGGTACTTTTTTAAATATTATGGTTTGTTTTGACATTGATTTACCCCAAATAATAAAGTGTGAGTAAAATGTCAACACAAGGTTTCCTGGGGTGAGATTGGTGCTTGGTGCTGTCTGGTATGGCAGATGAGCTGACCCATATTAATGGCTTACTATTACTAAAGAGACAGGGTTTGAAAGCTTCTTATTTAGGACAGTACTGCCTTCACCAAAGTAGCATAAAAGGATTTGAAACTTAGATAAAAAGAAAACTAATTGTTTTCTTTCTGAACTTACACCCAAGTACACATGAATGTTACTAAAGTTTAAATAAAAACTTGGCCCAGCAAAATTATGCTTGAATAAAATAAAGGAATGCTGTTTTCTTGCTAGTAACCTATACCAAAGAGAAAAGAGGAAAGCTGTTCTGAAGGAAGCCTTTCTTCAAAACCAGCTATGCACGCATTTTTTTGACTATCCCCTCCAGGGTTAATGGACTAGGGAGAAAAAAAGACTGTCTGCAGTTTCCAGTTCTGGCAATTGAGCGGAGAAGGAAATTGGAGAGAAGATTGAGAGTCCTGAGTTGGACACCTTTATGGGCTACTCCTTCTGTTCATTACTTTAGGATGATTGGCAAACTCTGATAAAAGTTAGTGCCGCAGAGGTTTTTTTGCTCATAATGACCAAGCACATCTCAAATTCTTTGAGAGCTGAAAATGGGATAGTGATATATGCATTGCTTCGGGTAATTAAGTGAAAAAAATCTTTTTTAGAAATAACTTTTTAACTGATAAAAGGAACCATACAGAGTGCTCTTTTAATAAAAGAATTAAGCTTGAGATTGTATTATTCACAAAGATGTAATCTGAATATTAGATATGTTTTTATTTATTTATTTTGATGGTACTGGGGTTTGAATTCAGGGCTTTGAGCTTGGTAGGTAGGCACTCTACCACTTGGCCTACACCTCCAACCCCAAGAAAAATCTTTTTATTTAACTGCATAGAATTTTAAATTCTAAATCAGTTTCTAGCATAGCATCTAAATTGTAACATCCCTACTTTGGCCTGGTCCTTTATATACCGGTACTTAAGACATTGCTTAATTTCCAACTTTATTTTCATGCAGTTCTTTTTCCCCTTTGTGTTGTGATCACATTTGTGACTTTATCATTTCCTGATAGGGTGCATTTTAGGAAATATATGGTGATTTTTAAAGAGCTGGATCAAAGTTTCTTTGAACATTAGAGCCAGAAAAGGGTTATGATGACTTGAGCCTGAAATAAAACATGTAAGTCTTTCATTTTGGATAAAACTACTAAGATTTATTTCCTTCTAGCTTATCTATCTCAGAATTGCCCTTATTAAAGCTGGAGATTTGGCTATTTCCAGAAGTTCTTTTTTATCCTATCTGGTTTTTTTCTCCATTTTCTTTGACTTTTTTTTTTCTTTTTTGTGGTACTGGGGCTTGAACTCAGGGCCTTCAACCTTGAGCTACTCCATCAGCCCTAGTTTTTTGTGAAGTGTTTTTCGAGATAGGGTTATGCCAGTTTTTGCCCAGCATGGCTTCGAACCACGATCCTCCTGATCTCTGCCTCCTGAATAGCTAGGATTATAAGCGTGAGCCACCAGCGCCCAGCTGAAGGTACTTTTAAATTGAAGACTATCACACTGTTCCATGCAATCTATGAGGCAGATAACCAGAGCAGCCTTAAAAATATCCATATAACTTTCCTTGAGAACTTATTCCACTGCCCAAATATTTTGAGTTGTAGCTGATACTTCAAGGAAAATCTGATGAGATTTGTAATAAGCTGTGGTGTTTCTTTCTGTCAGGTTCTAAAGAAAGTCTCCAAATATATTCAAGAACAGAATGAGAAGATATACGCTCCACAAGGCCTCCTCCTGACAGACCCCATTGAGAGGGGACTTCGAGTTGTATCTTTTAGTCCAGAACAAATCTGATGGTACTCTTTGGCATTGGCTAGAGAGGATTTAACTTCTATTTCTTACCTTTGCCTTAGAAAGTTTCTGTGTGACTTATATACCTAAGTATCCTGTTGCCAGCATTTTTTCTAAAAGCATGGCTTTCCGCCTTTTGCATTGCGCAGGTCTCTGGATTGTTTAGTATTCTGGTTCCCATCTTGGTGGTTCTGAGGGCATCTTGTAGTAATAATTGGGGTTGTATGAGTAATGCATTTCAGCTGCAGACACTCTGAACCTGAAGCTCCTTTGAAATGTATAAACCTGTAATGTGTGGTGAGACTTGTCATCCAAATGAATTGCAGTTCCACGGGTTCATCTGACTAGTTCAAATCAGTTACAGCTGCCAGATGTATAATTTCATTACCTTTGACATGCTGTACATATTTTTAGAGGCAGTAAACTTTGAAAATCACTAAGTGAATTTGGTAAATAAAATTGAAAAAAGCTAATTTGGCTTGATAACTGAAGTAGTAATGAGTAAATAAATCTTTTTTTTTTAAACCTGGGTCACATAATCTTAGCCCTTGCAGCTGATAATAATTTCAGCAGTTTTATTATACTTTGCAGCAATGATTCTTAAACTCTTAGGGGTCATGAACCCTCTCCCAAGAAAAAGTTTTCATATAATTTCTGGGCATTTTGAACACCTGAATTCATTACTGCCTTGAATTCTCAGTTAAGAAATATATACAAATAAAGCATTCTTTCCAGATTGCTGTTTTTAAAATCATTAGTGTTTGGGAAGGAACTATGTGGAATAGTTTATTGAAATTTTCAGCAGTGTGGGAAAGCATATTTAACTTAAATAGGAAATTATTTTTAATACTTTAAAAATAAAGCAGATTGAAAGCAAAGTCTGTGCAGACCACATACCATCATCTTGCTGTGGGCCCCCTTGTTTTTGTTTTTGCTTAGTTGGATGTTTTTTGTTTTTTCCCCCCCTGTTTTTGTTTTAAGAAATGGTCTCACTACTAATTCAGGCTGGCCTTAAAATTTAAGTCATCCTGTCTGCACCTTGGAGTGGTGGAATTGCATGCATGCATCACCACGCCTGGCTGTAGTCCCATTTTCCCTTTTATATGTTATCTTCTACAGTGTGTTTTCTTAACAGCCATGCTGCTTAGATTGAAATTACCATTTATGAAGACAGAGGCCTGAGCAGTGGAAGATAAGCCATAAAACTAAAGGTAAATGTGAAATCTCATGGTTTATGTGCAGGTTTTGGAAGTATATATGACTTTTCCCTGTGTAGTAAATATTAAATTATGCAGTTAAATAGTGTTATATTCATTGTATTAGCTTAAGCTAATCACTGGTAGCTTGATGTTTAAAATGGGTGTGTAACCAAATTCTATCTGAAATAGCATTTAATCATGTTTTGCTTCCTCTGTATCATTATCACACTGGTTTTGTTGTTACTTTGATTTACAGGTAGTGGTTTATTTGGCTTGTTTTTTATATTTCAAAACTATCCTGGGCACTTAAATGTTGGGTTTTATGTAGAAGAATCAGTTAAGCAATTCCCTCCCCTGCCCATATGACAAATGACTTTAATAAGCAAAGAACATTCCAGGGGGAATTTGAGAGACTCTGGGTGTTTCATTTGTTACACTTAAGTGACTTCAGGGCCCTGAAACTTTACCTGATGGGTAGAACCTTAAGTTTCATTCTTTTGTATAGAATTAATTTTTTTTTTGTTGTTTTTAATTTGTTGTGCACAATACTAGGGATTGAACCGTTAGCCAAGTGCTCTACACTAAGCTAATATCCCCAGCTCTTTTTTCTTTAAGATAGGTCTTGCTGGCCTTGAACTTACAACCCTCTTGTTTCAACCTCCCAAGAAGCTGGGACTACATGTGTGTGCCACCACTCCCAGCTCTAGAATGTTAATGTTCTTATATGTCCAGATAATGCCCTTTAATAAATGAGAAACAAAGAATCTACAGGCAGAGCTTGTTAAGACCGTAAGTATATTTGCCCAGCCTTCTAAGAGACACAGTAAAACTTCCTGTTTCAGCCAGTTTCAATTATTTGCCTCCCTACAGAAGTGTTCTGCTGCTGTGTTTTTCTAATTGACTTGGCTGGCAGGTGTCTGTTACTAATTTAGCAGCACAAGCAATGTACCAAAGCAGACATATTCCTTTCTAGGGCAACAATAGTAATAATAGTTAACATTTTTAGGTGACCTACTATGTGCCAGTTATTGTATTTCTAAATCTCAAAGAACCATGCAATGAATTTTCCCCACTTTGCAGATGAGCAAACTGAGGTACACAGAGATTAAATTTCAAGGTCACGTGTTAACAAGTCTTGGAATGTGAACCTAAGTGATTAACCATAAAAGGCCTGTTTTTGACCCCATGCTTCCTCTTCAGTGTTTGCAGCAGCAAGAATATAGAGACTTAAGAGTCCATCAGTATGCTAGATGCCTATCCTGTTCTCTTCTTTTTCAATAGCTATTTTTAAAGTACATGTTGTCTACTTCCATTCCACTTACTGAATCCTACAAATCATCCAACATTTTCAAAACTGCTTCTCTTAGCTCTAGTCAGTGTATCACCTGAGTTCTTGAAAGCCAGAAATCTAAATAATGACATCCTCTGCCATATGTTTCATTTCTTTAAAAAGGCTTTGTTTTGGAACACGTAGGCTTACTTGTCCATACATTTTCTCATGTACAATCTCCAAACTGATATTTCTCAGACGAGCCACCAGGATCTCTCTGTGTGGTTTTTGTTACGTGCCATTGGAGTAAGTTTGTTTTATCAATTGCAGCTGCATTGACTTGGCACAACCCATTTGTCATGATTCATCTTGCAGCTATTATTGCTTAATAAGATGTTTTTCTGAGGTGGTATGGGGTTTTGAGCAATTACACACCAGAGGCTAATCTACTAATATTCAAACAACTGTGAAATTTTGAAATGAGAAAGATTTACATTAGAAACTTCTGGATAGTTTCATGAATGCAAATATTTTTGTTCAACACAATTTAGTTTTCAGAGCTGTGTTCCTTAGTTCCAGGATCTAGTGTGGGCTGTCTCTAAGACAGGGTAGACAACTGTAAGAATAACATTCATTTCTACCAAGGGGTCTTCAGGTTGAAGTATTATTTTATGGGAATTAACAATATAATAAAAAAATACAAAAACCATGCAGATGACCTTTATTTTTAAAAAAGAACTTTAGACAAATTTCCCCTTTTAATTTTTAATATCATGTATCTGTTGTTATATCTTTATTATTAGATAAAGTGGTGTTTTCATTCATAATGTTATCTTTATATAAAAATGAAATATGATTCTGTCATAATACATTAGTGAGAGAGTATATATAACTATTTTGTTGCCACTTACGTGCCAGCACTGCTCTAAATGATAATCACACTGCAACTCTGCTATGTAAATACTGTTCCCTGTCTTTCAAATGAGGAAACTGAGGCATAGAGAACTGAAGTTAATTATTCAAGGTTAAACAACTAGTAGGTAGTAATTAAGGCAGCCTGGCTCCATGGCTGGCACTAACCAGCCTCCTCTCGTGACGTGTTAGCCAGAGATCTATCTATACAGGATTTTATTTCTAAACTGTTTGGCTATGCACTGACTTAGACAAGTATAGATTCCAGTATTTTCTTAGATAGGACCCTGGATTAATGAACATTGTCCCCAGGTCATAAGCTTATACCATTTCATGTAACAGAGATGGTTTTAGAAGTTTATTTTTAACATCACTTTCTAAAACATTTAGTTTTCACCTCTAATTACAGATCCTGCCTCCAGCTGGGACCCTCATGTATCCACAGGCCGATCACAGAGTGTCCCTACCTCCTCTCAAGAGCATCATTCCTTTGTATCTGCTGCCAGAGCCACGGTGCCATTTACTCCAAGGACTAACTTTCTAAAATTCCACACCTGCAGTGACCCCTGGTCACTCCGCATCCACTTTGTGTCTCCAAATTATGTAGGATGCTGTAATCTTTTGATTAGTTTCTGAGAAAACAAAAGGAAGCGTTTCATTTTTCTTATTCAAAGTCATTTAATAAAATATGCAGTTGGTCAGCCCAAAGTTTATTTCTTACCTGCCACCAGGTAAGAAATTGCCATTGGTTCTCTTCATTCCTTGGGCCAGTTTCCCAGGTAGCTTTAGACTTCAACAGGTCATATCTTAGCCAATGTTCAGTCTTACTCCCCCATATTAATAAAAGGCTTTGCTCCAGGTGAAGCATGTATTATTTCTGTGGTTTTGCCAATGCATCTCCCAGATTTCAAAGAACTACCAGTTTTGCCATGATTCAGATCTTAAGATTTATTTCTGCTGTTAATGTTTCTCAAGCTGAAGTTCACTTAAGAAAATAACAGTATAATGTTATTTGTCGTCTTATAGCAGTTATTACTAATTTTTAAAACAGTATTTAATGTAATTTCCTGTTCCTTTCTTTGGAGACTTTTATGTTAGTATTGCATTACCTTGAATGTTGGAAAGATGTGGTATGTGTTGCTTGTTCATTACACAAATAAGTAAGCACAATAAAGTGGATGCTAAACCATCAAACATGTAAATGTCCCTGCTCTGTCCTGAATGTGTAATAAACAAGTGTAATAAATATTTTAATTATAGTTTTGTTATAAATATAACTTATGACAAAAAGTTTGATAGGAATAATACTGTATATTGCTAATTTTTAACCCTTCTGACAACCCTTATGAGTCACAGATTCCTCATATACAGTATTCAGTGCACACAAATCTTAGGATTGGCTCAAGTAAAGTAGCTAAATGACTTCCAAGTTAAACTCTCAAGTCTGAGTTAGTTTTTCTAGCTCTTCAGTATGTATGTCCTTAGTATTGGAGTTTCTTAGGCCCTTCATTCTTTTTGGAGTTGAGAGCACTGTATTTGAAAGAAAGTTAAGAAGTATGTTAGGAGAGAATGAAGCAGTTAGAAGTTTAACTTTCAGAGATATTGTAGGTGCTAATACTGGATTTAATCTTTCATATTTAATTTCTGAGTCTGGTAGTTGATAAATCCCACAGGTCTGTGTAATATTTTAATTGTATAAAATTCATTTGTTACTTTATAGCCTTAGTGTGTCTGTCTGCCTTTTAAACCCGTTGCAATAACTTTGCTGAAATATTAACACATTAGTAAAACTTTTCTTAAACAAACTGCCTCTGTGTGATATTTGGTGTGGCTTGATAAAGTAGTAAATATATGGCATTAAATTTGGCAGTTATAACTGCAGTCACCAGTACAGTGTGGATTAGTATTAAACATCTTATACCAGGTCCCACCTTTCAGTTGTTTACTGCATGCTTTTATTTTTATTTCATTTGTTTATTTTGGCAGTACTGGGATTTGAACTCAAGGCCTCCCACTTTCAAGGCCTCTTGAGCCATATCTTCAACCCTTGTTTACATGTTTGATCTGAGAGCAGATACGTTGGCATAGTGAAAAATCAACAAATGTTAAGTGTTTTTTTAAGTATAAAAAGAGATTGAAATGTTTCATTAGGAAAAGTATCAAAATTATTGTCACCATCTTGGATTATCTGATGATTCAGGTTTTTTTAATGAGGTAGATTTGTAGAGTATAAAAGTTTAGAAGATGGTCTATATTCTGACTTTTATTTTGTCAGCTTATTTTCCAATATGGAAATTTTCAGCATCTCTTTCCTATTCAGTGAAATGAATAGTAACTAATACATGTAGCAGTATGTTCTGTGATACTTAAAATGGACATGTGAGGAGGATAGCAGACATCTAATTCACACCTTATTTGTCCGCAGAGGTTAAGAGTGCCAGAACATAAGTTCTGGACTATCTAACTTCTAGGATACCCACAAGTACAGCAGTATGTTTGTTGCTACAAAATGAAGGGTTACAATGTCTACATTCTATTCAAAGTTCTTCCCGGGTGCCTCTAATAGTGCCAATGTGATAGTCTGTAAAAATCTCCCTAAAACCAAGAAGCCCTATGGGAACTTTTTTAATACTTAAGCCTATGTTTTGTAAAATAATTTTATAATTTTACAATCCAACAACTGCCAAATATTCTTAGGCATCATTGCCAAGTTAAAATAGATCTGTGCTGACAGGATTTTCCGTATTTGGGTTTTCTGGTTTCTTAATTCTGTTGTCCAGGCTGGACCTGATCTGGGCTCAAGCAGTCTCCTGCCTGAGCCTCCTGAGTGGCCTGCAGATGTGCACCACCATGCCTGGCTTTTCTTTTTTTTTTATGCTATCCAAGCGAATAACTTATTTAACTTTGTTCCATCACTTTTTACCAGGATAATGAAATCTTTAACCTTCAGATTCAGACTGGGGATTTGACTCAGTGGTAGACCACTTGCCTAGTAGTGTGTAGCCCTGGGTTTCATCCCCAGCACCACATAATTCATAAATCACCTTGTCTTTGAAGGAATTCTGAAGCCAGACGTGGTGGTACACACCTGTAATCCCAGCACAAAGGAAGCTCAGGCAGGAGGATCACAAGTTCAACCTGCACTACAGAGACCCATGTCTCAAAATTTTTTTTTCTTTTTGTTTCACTTTCGAAGGGCTCTTTAAGAAAAAGAAAAAAAAAGCAGAGGGGATCTAAAATTCACTCTTGGCTGCTGTAACTGGTGTACTTGAAGTTTCTGCTCATGTATATATTCTCTTTCCTCATATTTTCACAGAACACTTTATTGCCAGGAAGTGAGCATAAATTGTATTCAAAATGTTTTGGCAATTACTCTTCTGGGAGAAACCAAATGCCAAGGAACATAACTGTAGAAGCGCCAATTCTGTGTTTCCAAAACATAGATGTGGACTTTCCCAATTTTCTCATCTTTGTGCCTGACATCCAACATGCTAATGTTTTTATGGGGCTAATTCCTACTTTTGTAGGTGTCTGAAAAATCAACATTAATCTGAGTCTTAGTGCTGTGGCTTGACTGTGCCCCTAGAAGGCAGACTTGATCCCTAATGCAACGTTGGGAGGTCAGGCCAAATAAGAGGTGATTAGGTCTTACAGGGCTCAATCTGAAGGTCGGTTAATGGTGTCCGGTTTGCATTCTTAGAAATGTTTTTATAAAATGGCTGGTGACATAGAACATCTTATCCTCTAGCTTTCTGACAAATAGGAGGAGAGGGTTAAGCTATAAGCATTTAAAAATACTGAGCTTGGGGCTGGTGGAGTAGCTCAAGTGGTAGAATGCCTGTCTGGCAACCGTGAGACCCTGAGTTTAAACCCCAATGCCACCAAAAAAAAATACTGAGCTTAGCCTGATTTTATTTAGCCCTAAGGACAATTTACTCAGGTGAGCTGTATGAACTCTATGAAGACCCCGCTTAGCACTTAAGACATGAGTTTTCTCTCAAAGATGTCATCAACTTCTTACGGAAAGGTCATATTTCTCTTTGCTTACTTTTTTTTTTTTTTTTTGGCAGTACCAGGAGTTGAACTCAGGGCCCTATGCTGCCTGGCAGATAGTCTACCACTTGAACCATGCCCCAACCCTCTGACTCATCCAGAAGATCAGTAGGAAACTCATTTTACTCAACCTGCTAAATGTGTTGACCACAGTGTTTTGGAAGAAAGAGTTTTAAAATATTGATGGTCATTTTATACTCTGCAATGAGCATATGACAGGATAGTTTTTGTTTCAGAAGAGCTAGAATCTGAGGAGAAAGGGAATTAGGACTGTGATGGGGTGCTGATTACACATCTATAAGGGAGACCCAAGTCTGACCCTGGGCCCCTGAGCTTGCCAGCATCTCAGCCACACAAGTAGGTATTAGGCTGTATTACTGGCCAGAAAAATACTTAGGAATTTACCAACCAATAGCTTTCCTTATGAGGCTAAGGAAACATTCTCAGAAGGCTGCCTTGTTACATTCCTATCCTTAGTGCAAATCTTCATTCAGAAAAGCTGGAGATTAAACTTTGTTTAGCTAACATCCTCCCAAAACTTAATGCTTCAATAGTGAGATCAAGAATGTGATGAGATTCAGAGGCAGGAAACCATGAGAAATAGCTGTTAAAGACACAAACACAAGAGTGGCGACAGAACAATGACCTTTCAATATACCTGGAGGCATGGCTCAAGCAGTGGAGTCCCCCTTCCTAGAAATCATGTCAGTCCTGAGTTCAAACTCCAGTTTAAAAAAAAAAGGCATCTTTCTCCATGAAACCTTACCATACTGTACATCAATATACATATTGTCTTATTAAAAATATCAAACATTTTTGGGGACTGGAGATGTGGCTCAAGCAGTAGAGTACCTGCTTTACAATATGTATTAAAAAATACGTACTGACTGATTAAGAAACTAATTTCACTCTTATCAATGAATAATTCCATAGCTATCTACAACTTTTTTTTGGCAGTTCGAGGGTTTGAACTCAAGGGCTCTCGCTTAAGGAGGCAGGCACTCTACCGCTTGATCAACTCCACCAGCTGTTTTCTGTGTTGGGTCTTTTCAAGATAGGGTCAAGCTACTTGGCCAGGATTGGCCTCAAACCATGATCCTCCTGATCTCTGCCTCCGGAGTAGCTAGGATTACAGGCGTGAGCCACTGGGACTGGGCTCCACAAATATTCTGACTTTCTGTTTGCTGTATCTGTAATGAACACTATGAGAGAAAATCAAAATAAGTCTAAGGCTTTCTAAAGTGGAACCAACAGGTCGCAAGAGCATTTTACTCACACCTGCTGAAGTTTAAACTTCAGAATGTTCCAATAAACCTAGGCAAACAGCTGAAGTCAGAATCCTAATTAACCAATCAGAACACGTTTTCAGTTAGGATTTCTACCCGGCCAATGAGCTTCCTCCAAACACAAATGTTTCTAAAATCCCTTATTAAAAACTTCTCTGGATTGGAGATGAGGCTCAAGCAGTAGAGCACCTGCTTTGCAAGCTCTTAAGCACTGAGTAAAACCACAGTCATGCAAACACACACACATACACGGAAAAACTTACACACCTTACACAACACTATTCAGGGATGCCCTCATTCAGTGTACCCGAATTGCAATTCTTTGTTTCCCAAATAAATGTTATTTCTTTTTGTAACCAAACACAGTAGACTTGATCCTTGGTGAGTGCAAAGCCAGTAAGCACAACCAAGAGATAAAAGAGTGAAGAAAGATTTATTACTTGTACAAGTAGAAGAGCCCTGTGAATAATTCCAAAAGCACTGTCTCCACAGGAGGCAAAGGTTTTTTGTTTTGTTTTAGGGAAAGTTAAGCATATTTATGTTATCCATAATAAGGAATCTGCATTATAATGAGCAAAGTTTATTCTAAGTCACCTAAAAGAATGATTCAGCATGACTCATCAGTTTTTGGCTGGTTCCTCTGAGTTTTCTCTGGAGGGCTTATCTGGTAAACATAAGTAAGTAACTTGAGATGGGCGTGGTGGTGCACACCTGTAATCCCAGCACTCAGGAGACTGACACAGGAAGATCTTGAGTGCCAGAATAGCCTGAACTACATAGCAAGACCCTGACTCAAAAAGAAAAAGAATTTTGTTAGCAGTCAATTAGTGAAGCAGCAGCTCCACCCCCACAAGTATAGGAGCATGCTAATAAAAGTTCCTTTCTGACAGCAACACTTTGACTTCTGAATCCATCTTTTTTTTCTTTCTTTCTTTCTTTTTGATAGTACTGGGGTTTGAACTCAGGCAGGGCCTTCCACTGGCTAGGCAGTCACTCTACCTGTGGAGACCATATTCTCAGTTTCAAAAGTGCAACCTTGGAGGGAGGGCGGGGCGCAGCTCTGGGAACACTGTTTTAGGAATGTAATCTTGAAGGTGTAACCATGGAAACTTAACCCTGGGCCATTAGGCGCCAGCTGGATGCCAAAGTGCACTTATGTAACAGTGTGTGTGTGGGTTCATAAGCACAGACTACTGTGTACCTGGCTTTGGGGGTTTTAGGAGACACGGTCAGGTTACTTCCTTCTGCTTCCCTCCTGGAGCCTGCTGGGTTGTTGCTTGGAATAAAGCCGCCTAGCTATACAAGCAATTGCCTCCTGTCCTTCAATTGCCTCCTGTCACGCATGAATTCTTTCTGATTTCCCCTGGACCAACTCCAGCCCTGTTGGCCAAAACGGTGAGCATGACACTACCACTTGAGCCATTCCACCAGCCTTTTTTTATCTTTTCTAAATTCACACCATAGCATTGATCTGTCACTTTCTTCAATTGTATAAAAGCCTACTTCCTATACTCTTCAACGTTACCTTTTTCCTTCTTTTTGCCATGTTTGTATCTTCATATTTAACCCGTCTGATTGAATTAATCCCCTCTGATTACTCATCTTGCTCTTTTCAATTGACAGAGCTTGCCTACAAATTCTGCTCTTCAGTTACATTTATCACCATCAAACTTCCTCCTCCTGCTTGCATACTTCTGTAATTCTCTGTTAGACGTCATCTTTTTATTCATTTATTCATATGTGCATACGTTGTTTGGGCCATTTCTGCCCCCTCC